CCGTGGGTGTGGCTCTGGGTGTGGCTCTGGGTGTGGCTCTGGGTGTGGGTGTGGCTGTGGGTGTGGGTGCATAGGAGTTTCAGCACCCACACCCGCAGTAAATTTGTGTTGATGGAAGCCGGTAACCGGAGCGGTAAAACCGAGGTAAACCGTCAATTTTACTCCGGTTTTTCCAACATGGGGATTCTCTAAAATAGTAGAATTCAACTATGTATCAACTGTAAAATATGTTTAATTTGATATATTACGATGGAGGTTAAACTGTGGATGTTCCTTAATTCGGCCACGCGTCTCTGAAAATTTCAGGCTGATCTGAACATTTTTAGTGGTATCATTCTTGAAAGGTGTGGGAGGGGACTTAAGCCGCATAAGATTACTATTCCTCTGCCTATACTATTAGTAGCCCTGCCTGTATGCACTGTACGATTAGTATTAGCATGATCTTGGATACATTGTACTAATTTTAGCGACCTGTTCATCCTAAAGACACAGTGTTATCAGATGAATTCAGGACAAAAAGAAGCGTGAAAATGTGTATAGGATGCAGTAATCTAGCATTGCTTTTTATGCCAGGGTCTAAAATAATATCCATTCTTTTTCAAATACTGGAGAGTAGTGTTGTTGAAGCTTGCAAAACAGTAAATTATATCGGAAGAGTAGAACATACAGTCAAGGGTCAAGCTATTCTAAGCGACGAGTGTTACTTGTTTCAGCTACTGAAGAGCTAGCTTTCTCTCCACTGTTTCTGATAAGTTTTATATACTTTTATCTATAAGGAATGCAGGTTATAGAATTTTACAAATTTCAGACTAGATTAGGATTTAACTGCTATGAAGCTTCTGAATCAGTTCAGGGTTCGAAGTTCTACTCTATCTAGCGATATATAAAAAAAGAATGTGCTGTTTTTATGTAAGATGTAAGAACTCGAAACAATATATGTGGTCTCGCCCGTAGTAGAAATACTCTGAAAAATCTTCTACCAAATGCTGATGTGACGTCTCCGCTTATCCTCAATTCATAACACTTAGATCATAGATATGTAATGCTTGAAACTTGACTTAAACTGAATTTTCAAGTTTTAACAAAGTGATGTCTTTTAAAAGTATCGGTGAAATTCAATTAAATATTAAGAGAGGAGGCATCGGAGATATTGGCGTATGGGCATCGCTGAAAATGAACACCATACATCTCTCTAAATGCGAATGTGACGAAGGGTGGGCAAAGGAAATCTCCCGTATATCCCCAAAATACATGTAATGTCTTCTAATCTGATACTTAATATTGTTTTCGCGAATCATTTAATAATATATGTTGCTGTTAAAAATTGAAAATTCTATTGACTTGCACTTATAGAATGGATTAGATTTAATCTAGATTTTCTTCCGCTGATACGCTTACTCAGTGGAATGGAAATCAACGATTATCGTCGTTTGCAAAAATTGACCTACTCTTAGTTTCTACAGTATTAAAAACATTACTAATGTAAACAAGACATGATAAAACATACTCGTTGTTGTTGTAGTAGTGGTGCGAGTAGTAGTAGTTGTTGTTGTGGTGGTGGTTGCTGTGGTTGTGGTTGTCGTCGTTGTCGTTGTCGTTGTTGTAGTAGTTGTTGTTGTAGTAGTTGGTGTTGTTGTAGTTGATGTTGTAGACGTTGTTGTTTTTGTCGTAGTCGTTGTTGTAGTTGTTGTAGTTGTCGTTGTGGTCGTTGTTGTCGTTGTTGTACTAGTCGTCGTGGTTGTAGTTGTGGTCGTGGTTGATGTTGTTGTAGTTGACGTTGTTGTCGTTGTTGTCGTAGTCGTTGTTGTACTTGTTGTACTTGTTGTGGTCGTTGTTGCCGTTGTTGTAGTAGTCGTCGTGGTTGTAGTTGATGTGGTTGTCGTTGTTGTTGTAGTTGATGTGGTTGTCGTTGTTGTCGTAGTGGTTGTTGTACTTGTTGTGGTCGTTGTAGTTGTTGTTGTTGCAGTTGTAGTAGTTGCTGTTGTGGCGGTCGTAGCAGTTGTAGTCGTAGCTGTTGTTGCTGTTGTCGTATTTCTATGCGCTAAATTACACGATGGAAAACTTCAAGAGGATAAAAGCGCCAGAAAATTAGAATTACTCACAAGTCGAGAAAAAAATCGCAACTGCAACTATAGCAGCTAGCGCTAGTATCCCTACGATGATTGTACATAAACATAAGCATAGCCGTTGATAAAATAGTTTTCTATGTAATTAGACAAAAACAGACTTTGGTCATAAATTTATTAGTTGCCTGAGAAGCCGAACTTTTAACTTTCAGACACTATTTTATTGAGTTGTGAATGATCTTCAATTCAAGTGAAAAAGTTGTACACAAGGGCGAGCATCTGCATCGTCGCGCAGACAACTGTTTACATCGAATTATGTCACGTGTATATATGCTGCTTTATCTCAGAGAAGGGTGTGACTGTCGGGAAATCATGGTTTTACTCTCACTTTCTCATCGGTTTCATGGGTAAACAAACCTTACCGGTAACCGGCGCCAATGAGAGTAATCCAATTAGTATCGGTGTTTAGATAAAGGCATTGATAGTTTAATACCGAACATATGCGCTCACATTTACACCCTGAGCGGATATTAAAAAATCTATGCTCTGGGCTCTTTCGAAATGCTGTATGGACGGCTTTCCTTTAAATGAAAATCTTTAAGAAAAAGAATATAGCCACCAGTAGACTGCCAGAATCTCTAAAGTATCGTCAAGAGATCCATTTGCAAGATCAATTTTTCATTTATGCAATTCTATAGTCCTAGATTCTTGAATTCATCCAATTTTACTAGTACCCATAGGGAACATAGGGGAACATGATTTTATCCAATAGGAAAATCCCACACTGAAACAGAACTATGAAGTAGTATTCAGGTCAGACAATATTCCGTTTCTTCGATCGCCTATAGTTGTTTTTAGTAGGAAAGATTGAGAAATTGGTAGTAAGTCAGCGGAAAATGAAAACATATTTCAACTGTAATAATGCTTCAAATTTGTCTTTTTTTAGCGTTTTTCTGCCGAAACCTAATCTTGGTTATTGGCATAGCTAGTACTGAGATAATCCTAATTGAATATACGTTAATGACTTCCCAAGAATCATGCCACGTAGGGGTGGGCCATTAACATTAATTTTATATTAATGTTAATTTTTCTCATTAACCATTAATATTAATGCTTAATGTTTTCTGAGAAAAACTTAATTCATTAATATTAATGATTAATGAAAAAC